CAGCACCTCCTGACCATCAGCTCACCTGGGCCCCAGAGGGTCCCTGGGGCCCCGCCCCGCGGAGCAGGGAGCAGTGGACGGGCGGGGGCCGCACCCAGGGAGGCCGTGGGCCGTGCTGATACTGCACTCAGGCTGTGAGGGCCACGTCCCTTCTGATGATGACCCTGGCCCGCCCTCTAGGGGAGTGGGGGGCCTGCCTGCCACTCGCTTCGGGGCCTTGCACAGGGCTCTGTGATGTCACCGCCAGCCCTGCTGATCAGACGTGGGTCCACAGAGCCATCTGCATTCTGGAAACAAGTCCTAGCGAACAGACGTTCATCATTTGAATTGGAGCGAGTCCCTCCGCAGCCCCAAACCTACGGGGTGGAACCCCATCCCACGGGGGGTTCTCCCCCGAGTCCCCTACAAGAACCAGGTGGTATGTGGGGAGGGGCTGCGGGCTGGGGCGCCCCGCTCAGCTCCTGGGACCCGAATGCCAGTATCCAGCTGCAGCCAGGACCCGGGGACTCAGAGCTGGGGCCCGCCCGGCCTCACACACAGCCTCCAAGGCCAAGTTCTGGGACCTCCACGACCCGGGGATTCCTCCAGCCTCTCGGGAGGACGGAGAGAGAAGCGCCAACGCTCCGTGCGGCACCGACCCCGCCAGCGCCAGCCTACGGAAGCTCCCTCCGCGGAGCTCCGCCACGCAACGCGAGCAATTGCGGCAATTTTTCCCTAAGTGATCTTGTTTCCCCTAATAATCCACGTTTCATCTCCACAATAAACATTGTTAGAGCTCTTCCCTCGCCTTTAAATACACATAATTGCTTCTGGTGCCAGTAAAAGGTATTAATTCCACTTATGCATTCCATAAACTTTTAGGATAACGCAATTGATACCACGGTCATGTTGGGACACCTCCGCTATTATTCTCCTGCTTGCAAACCTCCGAGGGGCTGGAAAGTTTTCTCCCGAACCCATTAGTGTTGACTCAGCCTCATTCTCCCCAGGAATCCCTAGCAGAGCCTTTGTGCCTCCCGCCCCGCCCGCCGCCACTGCTCCTCCCAGGGCGCGGAGCGGGGGCTCTCACGCCGCGTGGAGCCAGCACTCCCCGGGACGGACACACACGCGCACACACACGGAGTCTGAGGGCGGCTGGAGGTCATCCAGGGGGCCGAGTCCAGGCCATCTGTCTGAGCTGAGGACTCCTACCGCCCCTGTGCGTGGCCTCACAGTCCCGCCCACGGCAGCCCACCTCTCTTGGGCTGTGGGTGGTGTCGCTCAGCCTGCCCCGAGGCAATGCCACGCTGAGCCAGGGTTTCCTACCACACAAAGCGTCTTGCCTGACCTCAGAGTCCCGTCCCCAAGCTTCCCAAACACTGAGGACAGTCCCCCTCCCCTGGAGAGGCCTAGCAGGGGCATGGGGGGCGGGTGGCAGGAGGAGGCTGGGCCGGGCGGGTGGCACGATGTCCAGATGCTGCCATATGCGACTGTTCCGATGGCGAAATCGCTCCTGCTCACCCTCTCTGCTCTGAGGGACTCCTGGGACCAGCCACCCACCCCACTGCCCACTGCGGGGGCGCTCGGGACAGGAGGGGCCATCGGGGCACAGAGGCTCGGCCCAAGCTCCAGCCCCCACTGACCTGGGGAGGCGAGGGTGTGAAACTGGGATAAAGGCGGGTGGTGTCACCACCCCCGGTCCAGCTCCACCAGCCACCTGGCCACCCTCCAACGGGCATCGGTCCCCTCCCTGACAGCGGTGATCCTCCCCAGCATCTGCCTCACCCCGAGTCCCCAGTAGGACAAGCCTCTGCCAGGACAGCACCCACAAACAACCCTGCGCTAAGAAGTCCCACGGGCCAGCTCATTTGTCCCCTCCCCCATGGCAGGCCACGTCCCCGACGGGTGAGGATGCCAGGGCAGGGAGGGGAAGCATCAGGGAACTCACTGGCAGATCTGAGGGCCACCGGGCAGGCAGCTCAGCTCCACCCTGTCCTGCCACTCGATGTCCCACCCGCCAACACCAGCCTCGCCCTGTCACTGGGTACAGTCTCATGTCCAAACACAGATCCCTCCTCTAGCCGCCCAGTTTCCCGAGACCCACCTCCTCCTCTTCCTGGCTCCCTGCGGGATGCAGGGGTGCCAGAACCCTGGACAGGCACCGGGGAGGCCCGCACACGTGCGCGCTGTGTGTTTACACGTGCACTGGTGTGTCCATGTGTGCGTGCACGTGTGGGGGTGCTTGCATCTGTGTCTCTGCGTCCACACTCATGCATGTGTGCACACGTGCACATGAGCCCGGGAGCTGCGGCCTGCAGAACCCGTGGTACCCAAGAGGACCCGAGGTCTGAGGGAAGCGGGTCAGGGCGGACGGACCTCCTGGGGCGGGGGAGACCCACCGCAGGCCTCGGCGAAGCAGAGGCCAAAGACCCCATTAACAGCTGCGGTCACTTGGGGCTGGTGCGGGGGCTTTCCTGGCAGGGAGAGGAGGGAGGCAGCAAGCGACGTGGAATTGCACTTGAGAAAAATATGAATTATCTATCAGTTACCAGCAGCGGCGAGGCGGGGGCCGAGCCCGGCGCGGCGCTGGGACCCGGACACAGGCCCGGGCGGCAAGTCTGGGCAGCGCCCGCACAGCGGGACTCCCAGAGCCGAGAGCAGGCGCTGCCCGGCGGCCCAACCCGCACTGTGAGCCGCTGCCCGCCACCGCCCTGGGCAAAGACGGCAGTGCTGGGGGTCTGCTCCCAGAGAGCCGAGGTGCCAAAATCTCATTTCCAATGTTTGTCCCACCCCACTCCCTCTGTCGCCGAGCGGGGGAGGAGGAGCCGGGCACAGGCAATAGCATCCTCCTCCCGCTCGCTCCAGGAGCGTGTGCAGGCCAGCAGGGTGGGAGCGGGTGCCCAGCAGGTGGGGTCGGGGCTTGGGGGCAGAGCCTCCCCTTGTCCCTAGCACACTTGGCCAGCCAGGGCTGCCCTGTCCGTCGGAGCAGACCACCCCATGGGGCTACTCAGGGCAGGGCAGTTGAGACAGAACCATGTGTCCCTTGAAACCTGATGCCACACACCTGGCTGGGGGAGGTGGAGACCCCTGGGTGGGGGCAGGCAGCCAACACAGCGGGCAGGCGGCATCCCTCCCTGAGGACCAGCTCAGACCATCCAAGATGCCCTGGGGGGCGAAGGAGGCAAAGCTCCCACTGCTGCCAACCAGGACCAGGGGGTGCTGCTCCCCAAACCACCCTGACGACAGGATGCCGATGTGGGAGGGGAGAGGACCTAGGGAACAAGTCTGAACTTGGAGGAGGGGCGGTGCTGAGGCTGCAGTCCCCACAAGAGTGCAGCGCAGGGAAGCCTGGGGGCTTCCCAACCTGGCTGCAGGCGGCCCAGCTGGACCTCAAAGAGGGCAGAGGGACCGATAGTCCTAGTCCCCTCCCCACAGGCAGGTGCAGCAGCCACAGCACCAGTGGTTCAGGAGGGCCAGGCACCCCCACCCCCCAACACCCCGTCAGCACGGCAGTGACACGGAGAAGCCCGCTTCTCCTGCGAGCTGAGCTCTGTGCTGGGTACGCACGGGCACGACCCCCCAGCCCTGTCTCCACCACGCAGCAAGGAGCGTGGATCACAACATACAAACGGAGAAAACCCGGCATCGGGTTGGGGGCAGTGATACTAGAGGAGCCCCGGAGGAGGTGCCGTGGCCCTCCTGCCCCTTTCGGCCGCCCAGAGCCCCAGGAGGCCAGGCTGGGGAGGCCCACGGCCTGAGCAAGAAGCAGAAACAACCCAGGGCAGCCTGGTCTGGAGCCCAGACCCCAGACGCCAGACCAGCTGTGCAGGGCTGTCCCCGCCACCCGCAGAGCCTGACCGGCTACCTTAGGCTCCGCCCTGTCCTGCAGCCCTCCAGGAGCGTGGGAAAACCCCAGCGCTGGCCAGCAGGGCTGTGGCGACCGTGGGACCCGGTTCTCAAAGCGGAAGAGCCTGGAGGGCACCCGCTCGGCCGTGCTGAGTGGGGGGAATGCAGCCCCCCTGCTCTGACTTCTGGACGCTGCCCGAGCTGTGCCGCTGAGCTCCTATGCAGCCTGCGGCCGGGCCACCTGGGCAGGGCTTGCTCTCCCCCTCCCCGGTGGGGCGAGGAGACCGGGGAGGCCCTTGGGGCTGCCCTCCCCACCCGGCGTCCACTGCTCCCTGCCCACCTGGCCGGCCTTCCCGCAGCCTCCGCCCCGCCCTCTCCTTCCCTGCAGCCACACAGGCCGTGCGGCTCAGCGCGCAGGACCACAGACTCGGGGTCCCAGACGCGAGGCCCCCACCCGGCACCCCCACTTACTATGTGCGCCACTCTGAGCAAGCTACTTTCGCTCCCTGAGCCTCAGTCTCCTTGGCTGTGAAGTGGGAACGATTACAGATTTGACCTGGTGGGTGGTGGGTGGGCGGTTTTAAGAGTCTGCTAAACTCAAAGCCCTTCGCACGGCGCCGGGCGTGCGGTGAGTGGCTGTGTGCACGTGTGAGCTTGTCAAGGTTGGCAAGATCCCCGCCCAGCGCCAGACTGTCCCCAAGGGCACCGCAGCGAGGACCTGCGTTCTCAGCCCTGCGGTCCCACCCCCCCGACCTCCCTGCCTTACACCGGTGCTCGGGGATGACACCCGAGACGGCCCCAGAGCAAAGCCCCAATCCACCAGCAGCCGCCTCGCACGGCCTGGGGGAGGCGGTTTCCGTGGACCCCGGGTCCAGCGCCCCCAGATGCCTGCAGGGAAGCCGGCCAGAAGGTCTTGGCGGGGACAGTCTGCCCCTGCCCCATGGCTGGTGAGGCCAAGTCCATCCCCTCTGGGAGGTCGGCTGGCTCTGGCCATGAGTCCCTGGGGTGGGCACACCCAGACTGCCCAGCCCGAGACCCGCCTCCTGCCCTGATGCTCCTCCCGGGCCGGGTGGGAACCCCGTGTGGACAGCAGGGTGCACTCGGCCCCCCCCAGGATACCCAGATGCAGCCACCGCCTCCCTGGCCCGAGGCCCCCGGGAGCGGGGACAACTCACCGTCCAGGTGGCCGACTTGGCCGTGCTCGACTGCTGGAATGTGACCTCGAAGTGGTGGGGGCCGGGGTAGTCTGTGTTGGAGGGGATGACAGGCGCCGGGGACATGGTGTCGAAGGTGGAGCTGGGCTGGGCGTAGGGCGAGTGGGTGGGCACGCTGGCGGCGTGCTCCGGGGTGTAGGGGCTGGCCGGGGCCGCACGGCTGCCCATCTGGTCCATGGTGCTGCTGAGCAGATTGAACTGGGCCTGGCGCACAGGGGGAGGCGGGGAGGGGAAAACACACACACAGTCAGTCGTCCTGTCCCATCCCGGGAGGTGTCCTGTTACAGGAGCCTTAAAGGGCCAGCGGCTCCAGTCATCCCAAATATTTCCTCGGCCCCCCCCACCCTAACAGGCCACTACTTGTGTTGGGATGAACTGACATATTCACCTCGCCCTCCCCTCTGCACCGGCCCCCGGTGCCAGGGCTTCTGGGGATCCACCCAGCCGCTGACAAGGTGGAATCCGGGCTCACCCCCTGGGGAGGGGGCCACGAGGGTGGGGGGCCCAGCCCCCCGCCCAGGTGGGCTTCGCAGCACACTCCAGGGGCAGCACCGGGGTCTGGACAGCCTGGCCACCCGTCCCCAGACACAGCTGAAAGGGGAGATCCCGGCCACAGGAAGCCAGGCAGGGCTTGGCCCCGGCCTGCAGGGTGGGCACACCCAGGTGTGTGCATGGCACCCCGAGGCCCTGGAGACCAGCTCTGGCCCCTCAGTACAGCCGTCCAGGTGGTGGGACAGGACTGTGTCCCTGGCTGAGCCAGATTTTCCCATGTGGGCGGCCTCATCCCTTTTAGAACAGCCTGGACTCTGTTAGACGGCAGAGTCTGCAGCCCAGTCCCCGTGGCCTCCTGGCTGCAGAGTTCTCTCGGGGCCCACCCCCAGGCCCCTCCAGGACCACACGCCCGAGGAACAGGAACCCCTGCGAGAGCATCCCGGATCCTCCTCTGTGGGGTCCCGGGACCCCAGGATGGATCGGCCTCTGCCAGGAGCCTGGGGGAGGCCCCAGCAGAGGGAGGGGTGCCAGCCCGAACCCCAGTGTCTCAGATCTCACACTGAGGCTTCCCGCAGAGGCGGGTGTTGGAGAACCCCTGCTCTGGGCCCACACAGGCCTCGGCGACAGGCGCTGAAATGGCTTTCCCTGTGCCGGGGCCGTGTGAGGTTTAACGTGCACAAACTCACTCTATCCTCCCCATAGGCGGGTGGTGAGTGCTGCTATTGTCCTCGTTTGACAGATGGGGAAACTGAGGCACACAATGGGGGAAGTGACTTGCCCTCGGTGATACAGCAACCCCACCAGAAGACACAGAGACCAGCAGCCAGCAGGGCGGCCTGAGCACCCCAGGGACAGAGTGCTGAGCTGGGATGGTGGTAGGGGGAGGAGGGGCATGGAGCGTGGGAGCCGGGTTCCCTGTGTCCCTCCCCAGAGCACCGCGGAACCCTGCAAGTGCGCTCCTCGGCCTGCCGCCAGCCTGCCTCCTGTACACTAAGGCACAGAGAGTGCAACCCTTGGTCTGTCCCAGGCCAGGCTCCCCAGCACGTAGGTGAGGGATAGCTTCGCTGCAGGCGGACTTGTCCCAGCCCGGCCACCGTTGGGGGAGCCTGGCCTGGCCCTCCCCTCCCCGCACTGCAGTCTTCCCATCAAAGGAGGGCTGGGCTGAGTAACCCAGGGTCCCCCCAGCTCAGTTTGCCTGGAGGGCACACCCGCCCCTCCCCCGAGCTTCCAGGACTACAAACCCCACCCCCGCACCCCTCCCAGCCCTGGGGCTGGTCCAGATGCCCAGGACCCGTGGCCAGGCTGCGCATCCCCCGGGAAACACGCAGCTGGCGAGTCGGGAGGGAGAGTCCACTCCTGCAGGCCACCCAGCACGCAGGCTGCTCCCCTGGGTGATGTCTGAGGAGCAGCGAGGGGGCCAGGTCTGTCTCTGAACCACACCACGGCTACTTCTCAGGCCTCCGACAGCCAGGCAGGCACTTTCCCTGGGTGTTCCAGGCCGGGGTCAGCCAACTGCCACCAGAGTGCATCTCGGCCCCTGCAGGGCTGAGCCGCCAGGCTGACCCACGCCCTGGGCTCTGCTGCAAGGGCCTCGGGGCCCTGGACGGAGCTGCCGCCGGAAGGAGCCATCAGGCGCGCCATGAACTTGGGGACCGTCTGCCCATGGGACGGGTCCCCCTGTGGGACAGACCCTGCCCCCCTCACTGGCACGCCGAGGCCTCCTTGCAGGTTCTGTCGGGCCCCACAACCTTCCTAACTGCCGGTGCCACACGAACGGCACAGCACCCCCGTGTCTACCGACGGGTACATGGACAAACAAGCTGGTGTCTGTGGCCTGAGATGGCACCGGCCACAGGAAGGAGCGAGGCCCCGACATAAGCTACTGCACAGATGGACCCTCACGACATTGCACCGAGTGAGAGCCGGGCACAGAGGCCGCGTGGCGGATGGTTCCGTGCAGCTGAAACGTCCAGGACAAGCTGACCCACGGGGACACGTGGCAGAGTAGCGGCTGGGGCTGGGCAGGCGGGAGGGTGGGGGGCGTGACAGCTAATGTGTATGGGATTTCTTTTGGGAGTGATGAAAATGCCCCAAAATTGGTGATGGTTGCACGTGTAGTGCATATACTAAAAACGCATGGGACTGTGCACTATAAATGGGTAAATTATTCAACAGCCTTGCACAGAACTAAAGGAAAAATGAACGGGTAAATTGTACGGTATGTGAATTATACCTTAAAGCTGTTAAAAACTCACAGGGAGGGACCGACCCTCACCTCTCCTGGCTCCTTGTGAGGGGTCCCAGGGAGGTGACCACTAGCCCGTTCCAAGAAAGACGGAGAAGGACAAGCCCTGCTTGGCCTGCAGCCTGGGCCGGGAGACCCCACCACCCCGCCCCGGCGAGCTGCCAGTAGGCTTGTGGCAGGGTGGACAGGCCCCAGTCCCCAGCTGCCCTTGTGGTGACGGTGACGGTGGGGTTGAAGGGGGTGGTGTGGGGAAGGACCGAGCACAGCCCAGGACCCAGCCCAAAGCCACCCCCTTCCAGACTCCTCTCCATGGCCCGTGCTGCCTCCAAGGTCTCCGTGAACTGCTTCCGACGCTGCTTCCAACGCCAGCCCACGCCCCTGCCTGGTCCAGCCAAGACCCCTCACCAGCCTGGGCTGCACTCAGGGGTCACTGCTCCGGGGGGGCAGCCCTGGTCACACGGCTGGAACAGCCCCCCAGACCCCAAGTGCCTTCTCATGCCACCCAGTCCAAGCACCTCAACGGCCGTTCTCTGGAAGGACAGGCTTTAGTGTCCCTAGAGGTTTCTGTGACACTGCTGGCTGTGAGCCCTGGGAGGACCCACGACATGGCAGCCACTGGCCACATGGGGCAGGGAGCGCGTGAAACGTGGCCAGCGTGGGCAGGGTTGTGCTGTGGCTGTCAGCTCGCCCCGATTCCAAGGGTTCCGACCACAGAAAGAAAACTCCTTCGCCATTTCACACAGATTGCATGCCAAAACCGTCACAGTGGGGGTACATAAATCAAATTATTAAGTGACTTCCACCGGTTTCTTTTCATCTTTCCAAACTTGGCTACTAGAAAACGCAGAGCAACAAACGTGGCTCACGTTCCAGCCCTTCGGGCAGAGCTCTCAGTACAGAGCGGCTGCTCAAGAGGTTTGCTGGACACGTGAACTAGCAGAATGAATGAATGAGCGAATGAATGATGCAGGATGGTTCCCCCATCACAGCTGCCCAGGGGTGAGGACGGGGCGTGAGCAGGCCCCTTCCACGCCCCAGTACGCGGTACCAGCCCGACACTCCCCGCCTCCTCCACGTGCCCGGCCTGGCCCTGGAGGAAGGGTCTTCCCTGTCTCGGTCGGCGCCCTGGGCTGTCCGGCGAGGCCTCCCCTGTGGGGACAGCCGGTGAGGGCCGCGTCCCCCCACCCTCTCCATCCCTGGCAAGAGGACGGCAGGGCCAGCAGCGGGCGTGGGGCCCACACTGCTCGCTCAGGAGGAGCAGGATGAGGACCCGTGACAATGCGGTTCATATTTTAACTTGTCCACATTCTTTAATGATCTAGGAAGGTGCCAAGGAATTAGTCACTGAGCCAAAAGGAGGAGAACTGATAGGATCTCTGCGCCCAGCAGCAGCAAAGGAGGCAGGAGGAGCCCGAGCCTTGCAGCAGGCAGCTCCCCCCCCCCACGCTCCCTTGGCACAGTGGCCCTGGTCGGCCCCCAGCTCTCTGGCCCTCCCTGATGCCACCGAAGAACCCCCTCTCCCCCCGCAGGGGCACAGGGCTGAGCCAGACCAGGGCAGGGCTGTCCTTACGCCCAGGGGACGCTGCCCACTGAGCCTCCTCTCCTTCCTGGCTGCAGGGGACACCTCCCTCCGCGCTCACCCCGTTGTGGGCACCGGCCTATCTCTCCCCCAGAAGACGGCAGAGGTTTCTCGGCTGCAGCTTTGGGTGCAGCTGGGAATCCCGCTGATCAGGAAGTGTGGGCGGCTTTTTGCACGGCTGGCCCGGCCACCTTGTGCATCCTCATCCTCGCTTTCCTTCCCCGCCTCCACCTCCCGGGTTTGAGGACTCTGCCCACAAGGAAACTTCTTCCCGCTTCCTTCTTCCCGGGGTTGTGGAGCTGTGTTGCCTGGGGCCAGGCTGCTGCCCCAGACCACAGGGGAAGCGTGGACCCAGGGCTGGGACCGCCGGCAGCAGAGGCACCACACAGGCCTGCACGGGAGCCTGGGGGCCCCGGAACAAGGGGGCCCTCCGGAAGCTGAGGCGAGACCCACTTGCCAACAGGGAGGAACCCAGGCGAAACCAGGACTTTTTTGGTTTGTTTTGCTTCCAATAAGAGCTCCCAAGATAGTGGGCTAATTAGGGCACGCCCGGCCTGCGGCAGCCACAAGTGCCTACTTGTGCACACTGGGCTCCTGGGCCCGACCCAAGGAGGGAACGTGGGCGCGGGAGCCGGGAGCCAGCGGGTGGCCTTTCCCCCAGTGTCCCCCCAGCATTCGGTGTCAGACACACCAGGCCCTGCTGGGGGCCCCAGGGCCCTGTTGGGGGCAGGAGCTCCACCAGGGGAGCAGGGCTGGGGCAAGTGCATACTCCTAGATCCACGCATCTCTCACCAGCCGCCACCCAGAGGGGCCTGGGTGATCCTGGGAGGCCTCGCGCCTCTGCGGGACCAGACAGGCCCTTCCAGGTGCTCCCACGGCCGGGCGTGC